ATTCAACTGTTGTTGTGATTCCATCATGTTATCGTTCAATTCATTACCGATTCGACCATCGATATCATCAATTTTTGAAGCTGTTTGCGCATTTGCGAATACACCTTCGACCGGATGTTTCAATAACTGTTGACTCGTGTTTGAGAATTCTGAATTTATTTCAGAGCCTCCGTTCTTCAGATGCGAATTCATCTTTAATCCATCACCACCGTTTTGATGTTGCGTAGAATGTGCCTCGCTCATTGTCGCATTTAACTGCAAAAAAAATCGTATTTTCTCTACTATAAAACAATTTTTCAAGCTATTATATCTAATGGAGCCAATCAACAAAACACGTCCGTTTGGCAACACATATTTTTGAGACTACGCTACTAAATGGTCAATTCGTCAAAAGAATACAAAACACAACTTTTGGACACTTCAAATTTTCAGAGGCATATTCTTAAAAGTCCGCATAACATATAGAAAGCAAAGAATGAATCTATTCATTGTGACTGCCGATTAAAAATAAAATCAGAAACTAATAAAGGAAGAGATCCTGAACAAACCTTATCAGATCGACTGAAGTCAACCTCTTCAATATGTAGATCTGTGTTCAAAGAAGCATTCCCAAGGATATTTATCACAGCAGACTGGGCGGATTCTGAATGAGATTTACTCATATTCACACCGTTACTATCAATCATATGTCCATTTTGGTGATGATTTGATTCTGATAGAGTGCCGTCACTGAGTGGACGTCTCATCGATACATCTTCCTCTCCGAGTCCATCTTCTTTTTGCATCTGCAAATAATTTGACATTGAAGCGTAAATGATCTGAGATAACACAATTACGATAAATATTTAAAACATTAATAATTATATTTTTTGCACTGGAGCACAAAACTTAGTGAGCGATCTCAATTACCTGGTTTAACGATAGCACTAGACATTCCACCATTCAGGCTGTTTAGATTAATACAGCCCAGTGGTTCTCACATGGAAAGGGGTAATTTGAGGATGGCAAAGGGATTCAAAATTTTGACAAATTATTTCTGATTGATTTTTCGCATAATTCTTCCACACATGCCCAACAAGGTTTTCAAAATGCTTTTCAAGAACAGAGAATTGATTCCTTTGATTCAACCGAAGAAATATTGTCATCAAACTTCTCGACCTATGGATTAATTTCATGATTTTCTTCTGATACGTCGCTTAGAAATACAGATTATTAGAGGAAAGGCAATTGCGATCACATATTGGCACGAGCGGAGAGGGAACGACAACTTGCTATACGGCAACCGATGGAGATCAAATAACATAAAAGCGCAAAAAGCATTGAAATAAATGTAGAAATAATTCTCCAATTGGAAACTTACATTATATTGGCATTCACTTTCCATAGCAGGTCTCTTCAAGTCGAGTGTAGCTGAGAGTCCCATTGATCATCAACAACATTGGCAATACACTTCAAACCACATAACACAATTACCTTCTTATCTTTTATCACAATTAATAACTGCTGATTATATCCCTCCTGAAATATTCGACTGTCTTTCGTTGATATTCACTAAAATCATTCATAACCATCGTGTTTTTACACAGTAAATCGCCATACACATGTAGTTATGATTACCCTTTGAACGTAACTCAAAATTCTGTAGGTTCGAAGCCGTAACAACGTCTTTTTCACACTCAATGATAAGGTAAACCGTCAAAAACGACTATATTCTGGTCAATTCGATAACGTTTTGTCAACGAAATTCTGCGTTAGTCACTGCCAATCGTTAAAACTGCAACGTCCGATTGCATAGATATTGTAACAAAGAATGGGTAAAAGAGGCAAACTGGAATGAGTTACTATTTGAGGACATGCAGCAATCGTTTCAAGTGTGAGTAATGTAGGAAATGTATCGAAAAACATTACAATTGATTAATATCTGAGTAAATGTGTATGAAATGAAGCGATAAAATTATCAACAGGCAAAAATAAATGCACATTACAATTTCGAAACGGTATTGGCTATGTAAAGCAAGAAGAAGTATAACGATGAATGAATATGTGAAATAAAATAAACTGCATAGCACATAAATAAAACACTGCAACACACAATCTGCTCTTCTCTCTCCTCCTCGCTCTATCTATGCATACACCGAGCGCTCGCTAGTCTCTGTGTGTGATGATCATTCGTGAGCACAATTCTTCAACGGTGCTCGCTCCGGAGCTCTACAACAACAACAGCAACAACAGCAGCAGCAACGGCAACATCATCCGAACCAGTGGTTTCTCTCATAGATAAACGCAAGAGTGTGCTTGGCTTTGCGAGAGTTAAAGATGAAAACGAACATTCGCACCATCCTATCAACATAGCAATGGGCCCTCGCTCGCATACCCCGATAAGTTACGTATTGTCGAAGTAGTATGCACAGCTATTAGAGTACGTAGAGCAGAGTAAGAGAGTTGTGTAGAACGCGCGAAACATCGATTTCAATTGGCAACCATCAAAGTTGCCGGATGAGACAGACTCGTCTCAGAACGATCTGCCAAAAGGGCGCCAATTAAAAAAATTCAACTCTTATTTTTCTGCGATTAAGAAAAATTTCTATACGTTAGAATATTTTCAACTGGAATTTTATTGAGACTTATGATAGGGGTTATTTGACTGATCAATGAGTGTTTAAGCTGAAGGAAAATCGTTCCATTTTGTTCCTGTTCAAGGCGAACTCTTTCAATTTTGTTTAAAAGAAGGAAAATTCTGAAATTCTACCACTCACACTATCAGCATTTTTTCTTTCATTTATTCCAGCTGAAACAATCCAAAGGGCAGCAGCAAAAACTACAGTCGCATTTGTGACTACAATGCAGGCATAGTTTGATTGTTGGAGCCGCATGATTAAGCTCT